TTTTTTTTTAAAAAACAACGAAAAAAGGGGGGGGGGGGGGGGAAATCTCCTGCACCTCCCCATGATGCTGCCTTATTAAAAAAAGTGACAATTAGTCATTTGAAGAAGCAACAAAGAGAGCCGGCGTCGGAGAGGTGCAATTTGAATTTCAATGTGCTATGGGAGGGATGGGGAGCCGAAGCTCTGGGAGGAGAGCTGCCAGTCTCCCCACAAAACCCATGGCCATCCCTTTCCACTCCAGCTCTCTTTGCTTGGGGACCCAAATATAGCTCACAGCAAGCACCCTGCTCTGTCTCCCCCAAAATTCATCCCAGCTTGTTCCCCAGGCTCAGCTCTTAGCCAGGCTTTGGCACAGGCGCTTTGCACGGGACACTGAGCAAGGAAGCAATCAGCTCCCCTTGCAAAGCTGCTTTGCTATTAGACATCATGTGCAGAAGGGCTGGGAGGACCCCAAAATCCCACCCCAAGGTAGCTGGACCCCAACGAGCCTGGCCGTGGGGTCCTGAGTAGCTCTCTGGGTCCAGTGCCTGGGGATGCAGGCTAGGGTGGGAAGGATGTGGGCTAGGGTGGGAAGGATGGATGGATGAATGGATGGATACAGGCTGGGATAGGACAGATTGATGGATGCAGGCTGGGGTGGGAAGGATGCAGGGCTCAGCCCAGGGCTCCCCTTCCCCACACCTCTCCATCCTTTCCCCTGCAATCCCTCCAGAGGATTTTAAGGGAAAATTAACTTGAAGGGGGCTGGAGATTTAATATAAAAGCTGCATCTCACCTTGTTCTCATGAACATATTCACAGTCTCACCCTATTTCATACATCCCCAGCTCTGGTTTGCCAGCAAAAGCCCAAAAACATGACCCAAGGTCACCTTAAAAACTCAGGATCAAACCAATGAAAACAGAAGCCACACACATTTCTGACCACAGCAAAATGAGCCCAAGGGAGAATAAGGGGCTATAAAACCCTGCAAAGCCAAAACCCCTGCCACAGCTAAGCCCCCAGGCCCCATATACCCCAGGGAGGAGGTTCAGGGGAGGCTCCCAGCTGCTGGCCCTTCTCCTACAGCACATTTCACATTTTACCCAGGACACAGCTCTGAATTCCGAGGCAGAGAGCTGGCAGCCAGAGAGAATATAAATGCAGCCCCACAGCCAAACAAATGAACAATATCTTTATTAGCATCTTCTTTTTATTATAGGTTATAGGGATTTTTTTTTCCCCTTCATTGCCTTTCTCCTCCTTCTTTTATTCCCACGAACCATGACATTTATGGGACTAGACAAGCAGGATGCTTTTGCCCAGCATCCCCCAGGGGACATAAAGCCACCCTGGGGACACTGGTCCCCCTTCAAGGAGGGCAGCAGACAGGTACAGCAAAGGAATTGCAATGGCCAAGAAGGGCCTGAAGCATTTCCCCCATCGTTGGCAAAAGGGGGAAAAAAAAACTCATATGACTTCCCAATGCTTCCGCTTCCCAAGGAAAGTGCCGAGCTGGGGGCTCACTGCCCTGACAAGCCAGACATCGCAGATGGAGGGACGACAGGCAGAGTTAGACACGCTCCCCAGCGCCAAATGTAGGAGACCCATCTTCTCTCTGCCTTGGAGCCAGCTCATTTACACTGCAAATAAAAACTCTTTGATTATCAAGTCAGAGTATCCCTTCGCCCTGCGTTCCTAGCACCGCATCCCCCCAGGAACCTCCTGTGTCCTCCAGCATCTTCAACCACTGTGGCAAAAACTCCCTCCCATCCCCATGGGATCCTCTCTGTACCCTGCATCCCGGGGGAGACAGAGATGCTCAGTGACATGTTTAAAAGCAAGCTGACATCTTTAACCATGCATGGATGCTGCCAAACAGCCAGCAGGCCAGGGAAACATCTGCGGTTCCCCCTCCTAGGAGATGCAAACAGCCTCCGGGTGAGGCTGGGGGGCTTGGCAGGGTCAGGCCCAGCACGGCTGCAGGAGGCTCAGGCAGTGGGGTCACACTCAAGAAAAGGATGCCTATATAATAATATCAGTGATGTGCCCATCCCAGCAGAGCCGTGGACTTCCCAAAACCAGCCCAACCTGCTGCTGACATCCCCAAGGAGCAGCACGACTTGGTTTGCAAAGGGGAGCAACCCCACGGTTTAATCTCAGTCCCTCCTCATGGAGTAAAAATGGATTTTTTTTTTTTTTAATTGTTATTCTTTTTCTTCCCATCCTGTAGGTGAGACTTTGCATTTAGAGGAAAGAGCAGATTGCAGCTTTTAATTAAAAGCTCTAAGCCTTTTCCTGCTTGAAGTTGCACTAGGAGCAGTCTCTAAACAACGTTCATCAGAGAGGAAACAGCACTGACTGCTGCTCTGTTTTAAAAAAAATT